TCCGTCCCGCCAGTTCCCCCGTCTCCGCCCCCCCCTTGATCTCCCCCCATTGCCTCTCCCCCCCCGCTCCTCGCTGCTCTCTCCCCCCCATCCCGGCACCAAAGCGAGGGCCGAGCAGCTTTCCTCTCGGCCCTCTCTACTTTTCCCCCCCCATTCCGTCACCTAAATGAGGGCCGCTCGCCCCTCGCTGCTCTCCCCACCCCCCGGCTCCAAAGCGAGGGCTGAGCGGCTTGCTGCTTGACCCTCGCTGCTTTCTTCCCCCCCTCCTCCGCGGCGGCGGTGGTGGTGGGAGGCCGGCTGCAGAGCGTTCCCTGCGCATGCGCAGGGGACGCTCTGTCAGTTTCGGGGGGATTTAAACATCCCCCCGATATTTTTTACAGGGTTTCTGATTTTTGTGCACACCTGGGGACTGCCCCACGTGTGCACAAAACTCTCCCTCCCCTCCAGGTCCCCCCGATGTGCGGAAATAAGTATCCGCACACCAGGGGGTGACTTCGGAATTAGATATATAGATGTTCCCCTTAAATCCATCTAAGCTGAATGGTTATCAAGTGAAAGTTGTTGTTGTTCAGTCGCACAGTTGAGTCCGACTCTTCGCGACCCCATGGGCCACATCACGCCAGGCCCCTCCTGTCTTCCATTGTGCTTCGGAGTTTGCTTAATTTCATGTTCACTTTCAAGTGAAAGAGAATCCCATAAATTAAGAACTATAGTATGAACTTCAAGCAATGCTCCCTCTAAGCTGTGGAGTCTTGTGAGCAGAAATTCTACTTTGTGAGGTAGTGGCATTAAAGTTGTGAGCAAGCAATTTGACTACTGCATAAATTAGCTTGCTCTGCAGCCATCCTTCCTAAGCTAAGACAAAAATGTGTGAGCCAGAGGCTAAAAAACTGTGAGCTAGCTCACACTAACTCAGCTTAGAGGGAACACTATGACGTACCTACTTTTTTCACCAGTCTTGAATCTATTGCCAAAACATTTCAATAGTTCACGTTTTAGTGTTGAATCAGTTTTCTCCACACCGTGCATACCTTTATAAATCTCTGCTGTGTCCTTCCTTAGTCGTTCTTTTATTCAAAATGCAACCAAATGTTTTAACCTTGGACTCTGGCGTCTTCATTGAAATGCTCTTGTATAGCAAGCAAACCTCGCTGCTCTTCTGGATGCTGAGTTTTCCTTGTTCATTTGGTTCCAGCTTTGTTCGTCTTGTTGCTAATCGTTGCTAATGTTCCTCACAGAAACCTGTGCCATCACGATCACTCATGCATGCACACAACTGCTCACCTCAGGCCTCCCTTGGTTTTCTCTTTCCCCTTTTCTAGCACCAACCATTGAGTTTGAAGAGGCTGCCTACCAGATCCGTGAGCCTCCGGGGCCGGACGGCGTGGCTTTCTTAAATGTTAAGGTGATCCGAAGAGGGGACCAGAACAGGACCTCGAAAGTCCGATGCAGCACCCGCGATGGCTCGGCTCAGTCTGGGATTGATTACTACCCCAAAAGCCGAGTCCTTAAATTTAGCCCTGGTAAAGCATACATGTGTTTATTTACTTTTATTGTAAGATATTTGTACCCTGCTGTTCTCCTCAGTTTCTTGCGCTTTGGGAACCCCACAGCAGCAACCCTGTGAGGTCGGTTCAGGCCCGTAGCCAGGATTTAGTGGCGTGTGGGGCAGTTTTTTCCCCCCTGGTGGGGCTGAAGTTGTCAGTGCAGAAAGAAAAGCCATTTAGCCAATGGAAAGCTGTTAACCAGGATAGATCTCTAAACTGCATGTGGTCAACCACTTCAGATGACAGTTCTCAGCTGCTGCAAGTTAATCACTTCTGCCAGCCTAAGCAACCATTCTGATAACGAGCCTGCAGGTGGGGTGATGACTTCTGTAGTCAAGAAGGCTAACACTTAGGCAGTTTCTAGTTTCTTGACACAGAGTTAGAAGGGATCCTAGAGGTCACCTACTCCAACCCCCTTGCCCAGTGTAGCTCTTAGTCACCTACAGCACCCCACTCTGCTTAAAGGAGCACATGCGTGCCTTTAAAAGATGTTTTAAAATGATTGGGAAAAAGCATTTACAGGAGAAATTCTTGTGGTCCTGTGCCTTTAAGAAAGGGGGCGGAGTCCCCAAAAGCCCCACCATAGCTATGGGCCTGGGTAGAAGAGATTGGATTTACTGCCCAAAGGAGTCTCAGAGTGCCTTAAAGAGTCTCCTTTCCCTTCCCCTCCCCACGACAGACACCCTGTGAGGTAGGTGGGGCGGAGAGAGCTCCTTCAAGGGCTGCTCCTGAGAGAACAGCTCTGAGAGAACTTGTGACTGACCCAAGGTCACACCAGCAGCTGCATGTGGAGGCGTGGGGAATCAAACCCGGTTCTCCCAGGTTAGAATCTGCTCTCCTAACCACTGCACCAAACTGTAGAGGCGTGAGAGAGAGGGAACAGAAGGGATAATCGGATGAAGCTGTCATTCCCATCCCTCAGAAGCTGCAACCACAGGCCTGGTGGAACAGCTCTGTTTTGCAGGCTCTGCAGGACGTTCTACCCTTGCCATGTTTGCTCCTCAACCATGAGCTTTCTCCCCCCCCCCCCCCCGTCTGCTTGTTTCCCATTCTCCCTAGATCAGATGTGCAGCTTTTCTTTCAGGACTGGCTTCTCCCAGCTCTTTTCAATACAGTAACGGGGCCCTGCAGGGGATCTCCCAAGAGCGGCATCTCTCCGCTTAGCAGTTGCGCACCCAAGCAGGAATAGGAGTCATATTTTGGATCATAGATTTTTATTAAAAAGGAGACGGTCGCCGTCAATCTTCACACAGGCGTCTGTTAGTAAACCTGCCAAACGATCCGTCAGATTGTGTGGCTATAAACAACGGCTCCTTAGACGAATCATTAGAGCCAGGGAGGGTTTAAGAGGGGGAAACGGTGCTGTCCTGTGTCGTTTTATGGCAGTGGCTGAGCGGGCCGGCCTCGGCCTCGCTTTATGGAAGCAGTTAAAATCCCGTTGTCGGCCTGTCTCAGCCGGCTTTTATTTCTGTCCCCGCAGGAGTGGACCACATCATGTTTAAGGTGGAGATCATGTCCAATGAAGACCGGGAATGGCACGAGTCCTTTTCTCTGGTGCTCGGACCAGATGACCCCATCGAGGCCGTCCTGGGGGAGATCACCACCACCATAGTGACCATTCTGGATCAGGAAGCTGCCGGAAGCCTCATCCTACCCGCACCTCCCATTGTAAGTGATTAACAAGAACGACCGCCCAGTTTTCACATGACTTCTCGACATGTCAACCCCTGGCCAGCTGGCTAATGAGGCGAGAA